CCGTCATAGTAACTTAAATATTCATATTTAAAAACCATGGGAAATTGAGTTGTACTCCAAAAGAGGTTTAAAAGAAAGAGACTCCATGTCTGCAGACATTTGGCAGTTTTTAAAACAAAGATATCTTTAGTTTTTGAAGAACAGCTAACTTTTTGAAAAAAACGTTTAGATTAATTCTGCCTGATAATGAGATTGGTATCAGGGATTCAGCTCTTACATCAGAATTCTTCAGATACACTTAAAAGCTCTTGGGGACTTACGCTGAGATGAAGGATTTTGATTTGTTTTTAGTTTAATTACGTGTTATTTTAACTCTACTCATGAATCTTCGAAATGTAGAAGTATGTTCTTTTTTATGTATTGCTCAATAGTGTTGTTGCTCTTTTCAAGTTTAAAGTTAAAACTGATTTGCCACATGCTATTGGAACTTTTAACATGCTTCCTCTCTAAGAAAATCATTCTCTCCCTTTCTGCACAAAGTACCTCTGCCAGAAAAACAAGGGAAGACATTTTACTACTAAATAGTAGGCAAAGCATATAACAGAATTTTTTTCTTTTTCCTGAGATGGAGTCTTGCTCTGTTGCCCAGGCTAGAGTGCAGTAGTGCAATCTCAGCTCACTGCAACCTCTGCCTCCCAGGTTCAAGCGATTCTCCTCCCTCAGCCTCCCAAGTAGCTGGGACTACAGGCACACGCCACCACAGCCAGCTAATTTATGTATTTTTAGTAGAGGTGGGGTTTCGCCATGTTGGCCAGGCTAGTCTTGGACTCTTGACCTCAGGAGATCTGCCCGCCTTGGCCTCCCAAAGTGCTGGGATTATAGCTATGAGCCACCATGCCCAGCTGAGAAAATTCTTCTTTTTTTTTTTTTTTTTTTTTTGAGATGGAGTCTTGCTCTGTTGCTGAAGCTGGAGTGTGATGGCGCAATCTTGTCTCACTGCAATCTCCACCTCCCAGGTTCAAGCAGTTCTCCTGCCTCAGCCTCGTGAGTAGCTGAGATTACAGGCATGAGCCACCACGCCTGGCTAGTTTTTGTATTTTTAGTAGAAACAATGTTTCACCATGTTGGCCAGACTGGTCTTCAACTCCAGACCTCAGGTGATCTGCCCACCTTGGCCTCCCAAAGTGCTAGGATTACCGGCAGAAGCCACCGTGCCCAGCTGAGAAAATTCTTAAAAGAAAATATGGATAGCTAAAACATCCCCCAAAAGTTTTTTTTTTTTTTTTTAATTAATAAGTTAGAATAACTAGAACTGACAAGAATTTGGTTTAATAGTCAATATCATACCAGTTACTGGGAATGTAAGGAACCTTTTTTTTTTTTTTTTTTTTGAGACAAGTTATCACTCTGTTGCCCAGGCTGGAGTGCAGTGGTTCCTGCCTCGGCCTCCAAGTAGCTGGGACTACAGGGGCACACCACCATGCCTGGCCAATTTTTGTATTTTTAATAGAGATGGGGTTTCGCTATGTTGCCAAGGCTGGTCTCAAACTCCTGGTCTCAAGTGATGCACCCACTTCGGCCTCCCAAAGTACTTGGATTACCGGTAAAGAACCTCTTAAAGGAAAATTTGGCCCATATGCATACAGACTTTTAACTTAGTATTTTATATGTACGTCTCTCTCCAAAGAAGGAAATCTAAAATACAGGTAGAGTTTTATAATCAAAGATGTTCTTTCAGTTACCTTTCTATAACATAAAATTAGAAAGGACAACAAATAGGCAAATAGTCAAAGTAATGGTAAATCTGTACATTAAAATATTGTATAGCCCTTACAACCGACATGAAAAAGAAAAACTACCATGCAGCACTGTTATGACAAATTGTTGAAAGGTAATCCAACCTGAATCTTATCAAGCCTCTGAATCTAACTACCAGTTTAGAGGAAGTACAGGGGACAGAAGGACATGTTAAATGTCACCATGGGGGTGCAGTCAGCAATATCTGAAACGTAGGAAACTCTAGAGCAAACAATGTGGTTTCTTCAACAAGTTACAAGAAAAAAAATTTAAAGAGGTAGGGAGAACCCACCGATAAAAGAAATACCAACTGATTTGTATGGATTGATGGATGGATGGATGGATGGATGGATGGATGGATGGATGGATGGATGGATGGATTTTAGACAGAGTTTCACTCTTGTCTCCCAGGCTGGAGTGCAATGGCGCAATCTCAGCTCACTGCAACCTCACCTCCTGAGTTCAAGTGATTCTCCTGCTGCAGCCTCCCAGGTGGCTGGGACTACAGGCATGCGCCACCATGCCCAGCTAATTTTTGTATTTTTACTAGAGAGGGGTTTCACGATGTTGGCCAGGATAGTCTCCATCTCTTGATCTTGTGATCTGCCCACCTTGGCCACCCAAAGTGCTGGGATTACAGGCATGAGCCACTGCACCCAGCCCTGTATGGATTTTATTTGGCCATTCATTCAAACAAACTGAAAACATATAAGAGATAATTAGGCAAATTTGAAATCTGTATATCTAATGGTATTAAGGAATTATTGATGTTTTGGGTATCATAGTGGTATTATGATTGACATGTATATGAATTTGTAACATATGATGTCTAGAATTCATTTCAAAGTACTCTCAGGTTGGGTGGGGTGGTGGTGGGGGGGCTTTACATGGAACAAGATTGGCAATGTGTTGCTAATTATTGAAGCTAGGTAGTAGGTATGTGGTGCTTCATTTTCCTGTTCTTTCTAGTTTTGTGTATGTTTGAAAATACCCATAATAAAAAGTATAAAAACAATAAACTTTTACATGAAAAAACTAGGTGAAAAAGAACATGACATACATGAGTAAATTTGAGCTATGGTTTTTTTTAATGTAAAGAAAAAAGAATACAAAGAAATGTACACAGTTTAAAACAGTAGCTGCTTTTAGGTAGTGAGATAATACATGAGTTTTCTCTTTAAAATAATTATCATTTATATATGTAAATTTATATACTTGCAAATTTTTTTATAATGAGTACTTTTAAATTTATTTTCATTAGTCATTCAAAATTCAAATGGTATAAGAAAGATATACAGTGAAACTAGCTCCACTTTTCATCTCTCAGTTACCCTCAAAAATAACTAGTGTTACTCATTTCTTTTATTGGAAAGATGCATACTGTTTATGTATTCTTTTTAAAATTGCAAAGTGTGATACTATACACTGTTCTCTTGTTTCTACTTAACAATGTATCTTGGAGATTGAACTACATTTATGCATAAAGACCTTCCTCATTCTTTCACATCTTCATAGCCAGTCCCTTCAGATGGACATGCAGGTTTGCTACTTCAAATACTGAAATGATTAACCTCTATGAAAGTCATTTTACACATATGCAAGTATATTTATCAGAAGAATTGTTGGAATTGCTGGGTCACGTTATATGTATATTTGTAATTTTGATAACGTTTCAAATTGCTGTTGCTAGAGAGTGTGCAGGCACAGTGTGGTAAAAAAAAAAAAAAGTATAGGTTTTATTTGCATTACTCTTGGTATAAGTGTAATTGAAGATCTTTTCTTTCAGTTGTTCAAGAGCTATTTTCACTTCCTCTTTTGTGTACTCTGTTTCTAGTCTTTGCCTCTTTTCCAACTGTATTTTTGGGTACTTTTAAAAATAATTAGTAGATGCACTTTATGCATTTTGGAAATTAACCTTCTGTCTGTAGCATAAATTGCCAATATTTTCCCCCAGTTTTTTTGTCTTTTAGTTTTGAATATGGTTGGATTTTTTGTTATTTTGTCATACAATTCTTTAAAATGTTATTATCAAATTGATCAGTCTTCTGGTTTTTTGTACTTGTGCCTTCCTTGAGATCATTTACAAAATGATTTCTGATATTTTACATTTAAATCTTTGATGTATCTGGACTGTATCCCAGTATTCAGTTAAGAAGCTCAAGTCCAACTTAATTGGGTTTCCAAGTGGCTACCACTATGTCCCACACCATTTGTCAGTTCATCTTTTTCCCACTGACTTAAAAGGTCATCTTTATCATATTCTAAGTACTCATATGGCTTTGTGTATGTGTTTCCTGGCCTTTCCATTCTATCCATGGAATTGTCCATGGATTTGTCTGTTCACATTCCAGCACCTTAGTTTGAATTATTGTAGCTTTGTCATATATTTTTAAATTTTTTGTGATGAGTTCTTCTTTACTCTTGAGTTTTCCTGGCTCTTTTCTTATTTTTGCTTCTCTTTTAAAAAATTTTTCATTTTCTCACAACTATACTAACAATGACTTTTTTTTTTAAATGGTAACTCTAAAATCAGCTTGTTTAACTCAATTAAAAATCATTTTGGTATTTTTATTGGTATTAATTTAGGAAGCATTGACTTTTTAATGCTGTTATTATATCCTCTCATCCATCATGACAAGACCTGTGTGTTTAATTCTTTTGTTTTCCTTGTTAGCATTTATGTGTTTCGTGTATTTAGATCTTGTCTAAACTTTCTACATTTCTTATAAACTTTATTTCTAGGTTTTTCATTTTTATTGATGTTATAAATGCTGTCTTTGATTATATCTTGTGATTATTGTTTGTACATGTGACGTCTAAAGTTTTGTATATATTCATTTTGTGACTACTCATCTTTTAAAATTCTTTTGTTTCTAATATAGTTTTTCAGTTGCTATTCTTTGATTTTCAAGGTATATAATTATGTCATCTACAGATAACCCTTTTCTTTCTCATGCCACTAATTTTTCTCTCAAATAATATAGTTTTTCACACAGAAAATATTATTTAAAGTTAAGAATTTTAACATAATGCATGCCCCTTATATTTAGCCCTATTTAAGCAAAATTTAGTGTCCTGTTAGTAAGTATGATTAGGCTTCTCAAAGTTGTACATATTCTGAACTCTTCAATAAACCTTTAAAAGATTTTTAATGTCAACTTTTTTAAAAATCAGTTTCTAAAAATGAGACATTCTCATTGAAAATAAATATTTTTATTAGTGATATTTAAATATTGAAAAACTATCTCTGCTTTTTTCCTCAGAATCAAATGGCTATAGCATGTGGATCTCGAGCTCATTTGGAAAAAGAATCAATTGCTCAGGTGAGACTTCATTAATTGGCATGGGACAGCCAATTAATTGGCTTTTATTTCCTTTTTTACATATATATTTGGCAAGAAATTGGCTTTTCTGTCTAATCTCTTAAACATGAGGTTCCTTTCAAAAGAAAATGATGTTTTAATTGTGGAAAGCTTATGAAGGATTGGCACATTTTAGAATTGATTTTTTTTTAAGGGTATACAAGAGGATATGGATTTCGCTTTGCCTTAGGATGCAAGCAGTTCTTTTTAATATATTTTTAAGACAAAGAGAATCTGTTCAGTTATAAAACAAACTTCTAAATTATGCTTTTTTCTTTTTTTTGAGACGGAGTCTCCCTCTGTTGCCCAGGCTGGAGTGCAGTGGCATGATCTTGGCTCACTGTGCAACCTCCACTTCCCGAGTTCAAGCAGTTATTCTGCCTCAGCCTCTCGAGTAGCTGGGACTACAAGCACACACCGCCACACCTGGCTATGATTTTGTATTTTAGTAGAGACAGGGTTTCACTGTGTTGCCCAGCCTGGTCTTGAACTCCTGAGCTCAGGTAATCCGCCTGCCTCGGCCTCCCAAAGTGCTAAGATTACAGGTGTGAGCCACTGCACCTGGCATAAATGATGCATTTTTTAACCAATCAACTTGCCTTTATTTTTTTCTAACATTGGCACAGTTAAGTGCTTTGTTTTGAGTTTTATTCAGAGTTTAAATTTATTTTTTAACCTCATTCCCCTTAGAAAAACACTATGCTGTAAAATTTGACAAGTTTGCAACTGCCTTTTTAGGGTATAAAAATGTCACTAAAGATGTTTAATTTTTCATTTTGTAGATTATGCTAGAAAAACTAGAGTAACAATTTCCCAGGTCACTCTTACGCACACGAGGCTTTGAGAACCAGTGGAATAAAAGGTTGAACCTTTCCCCCAATGATTCAGAAAAGAGATACGTAGAAATTTTAATTTTTAAAAAAGATATATTGATGACAGAGTGACAAAACCTTTTAAGGATTGTATTGAAGTACAGAAGCCCATACTCTCTTTTTATTTTTTATTTATTTATTTTTGAGACAGAGTCTTGCTCTGTCACCCAGGATGGAGTGCAGTGGTGCAATCTCAGCACAATGCAACCTCTGCCTCCCAGGTTCAAGCGATTCTCCTGCCTCAGTCTCCCAAGAAGCTGAGATTACAGGCACGCACCATCATGCCTGGCTAATTTTTATATTTTTAGTAGAAGGGGTTTCACCATGTTGGCCAAGCTGGTCTCAAACTCCTGACTTTAGGTGAGCCACTTGCCTTGGCCTCCCAAAGTGCTGGGATTACAGGCATGAGCCACCATGCCCCGCCTGTTTTTTTGTTTTGTTTTGTTTTGTTTTGTTTTGTTTTTGAGACGCAGTCTAGCTCTGTCACCCAAGCTGGAGTGCAGTGATGCAGTCTCGGCTCACTGCAACCTCTGTCTCCTGCATTCAAGCGATTCTCCTGCCTCAGCCTCCCTAGTAGCTGGGATTACAGGCATGCACCACCACACCCAGCTAATTTTTGTATTTTTAGTAGAGACGGTTTTGCTTTTCATCTCGAACTCCTGACCTCATCATCTGCCCTCCTTGGCCTCCCAAAGTGCTGGGATTACAAGTGTGAGCCACCACGCCTGGCCCCTTCTCCTTTTTTTTAGAAGTAATTGTTTTACTAGCACCTAGTCTAGTATTCTATGTATCCTAGAGATTCTCACTGATGTTTAAAAAACGTTAATCTGTTAACCATACAGAATAGCACACTCCTAGGTATTTAAAATGGGAAGAGAGCTTGGAATTAATCCAACTTCATCAATTTACCAATGCACAGGGGATAAGAAAAAGAAAAGTATGTGTCTAAGATGTTCAGCACATTTTATATATATGTGTATAATTATAAAATAACATATATGTATACTTATAAAATAGTATATATATAGATAGATATAAAATTGTAGTAGAAACTATTAAATGCTAAATTCCCACAATAGGAAATACAGCTATAGCCCTAGATTAAATGTGCAGCCAGTAAAGCTGATGATAATGGAGACTATTTAATAACATGGGATAAAACCTGAAATATTAGGTTGTTTGTAGAAAATAGTGTGATATTATAAATACAGTTACCTGTGTTGAAATAACAAATAGGCCAGACACAGTGGCTCACACCTGTAATCCCAGCACTTTGGGAGGCTGAGGCGGGTGGATCACCTGAGGTTAGGAGTTTGAGACCAGCCTAGCCAACGTGGTAAAACCCCGTCTCTACTAATAATGTAAAAATTAGCCGGGTGTGGTGATCCCAGCTACTTGGGAGACTGAGGCAGGAGAATCGCTTGAACCCGGGAGGCAGAGGTTGCCGGTGAACTGAGATCAGGCCACTGCACTCCAGCCTGGCTGACAGAATAAGACTCCTCCTCAAAATAAAAATAAAAATTTGTTTTTGCACACAAAAACAGCTAATGAAAATAAACCAAACTAATTTAATGGTTTTGTAAGTAAATTTTTTTCTTTTTTTTTTTTTTAACAAAATACATTAATTAGATGAAAAAGGATATCTACTTGGTGTAGGAAAAAAGATAGTTTGGAGAAATAGATAGCCAAAGACAGACTTAGGAGCCAGTGAGTAATACAGCCAAGGGATAATCCTTGTATTTGTTGGTGGTGGCTGTAGAAAGGAGCCATGTGTTTTGGTTTTGTTTTTCATGGTGTAAATTCTTTTCACTTAGATCTTGCATTGGTTGAAAACTCTGAATTTTTCCTAGAAATACACTGGTATTTAAATGAGACTATGCTTTGGTCTAAATATTTTACCTAGTACTGCTCTTAGCCAGGTATCAAGGGATCAATTGCAGGAGCCACAGATTTATAATTTATCTTGTCTCTATCCGTCCATTCTTTCATCTCTAAAATCTAGTGTTTGATTTAGTGCTCTTGGGTTCCCACAGAACTGGCTGCCATTCTGTAGAAAGGAAGGATAACCTGTGATACTCACTAGAGATCATTGGTTGTCTGCTGCAGATGCTGTGACAACTGCTGCTCAGTAGGCTTGTTCAAGTCCAGCCTATTCTTACAGAACCATACCTGTCTCATAAAAGGTTGTCTCCAAGAGGCACCGGACATGCATGTGCCTCATGTCCAGAAAACTGCAGCATTGCTTTCCATTCCCCTTCATGTGCTGTCAGTAATATAAACCCTTGCATGGTGGTCAATCTGTGGACAATGAGAAAATTATAAACGAACTAATCAGGATAACATTCAATAGCTTATTGCATAATGTTCAGAAACATCTTTCCTTAATATTTTTCTACATTTCTCAATTATTCTACCACCTCTTTTACTTCTCCCTTGGAAGACAAACATGACCCTGCCCTGATGGAGTCTTGTATCATCCTTAAAAGTGCTTATATTCCCATGTGTTCTGTACAACATAATGTTTATATACTGCCTGGCTATTCTTGAATTTATCATTTTAAAAGGATTCAAAAATAGAATCCATTAGTGGTTATTTAATGTTTTTAGTTTTTGTTTAAAGAGTCTTTGCTTAAGTCCTGGGACCTCTTTGAACTTCTTATTTTAAGATAATGAAATTAGCAGTCAGCTTTAAATTTCACCCAAATTAATTTCTTGTTTACATTTTATAAACATTGAAGATATTAGCGTTAACACTGAAACAGTTAAAATTGTTTTCCTTAATGTTTTAAATGGCCATTTCAGAAGATCATATAAGCCTACTCTCTTTTAGTAGCTTCACTTAACTAAATAAGTGTATACTATATTTTAGGTATCTTCTAAATTTTAAGAGATTTTGCAAAGTTCTAAAAATAAAAACAAGATTCTCTTGTTTGTGGCTAACCTTGTTAAGCTTTTAAATATGTTAGAAATCAAATAACTTAAGGACTTCATGTGAACTCTACATTTTTCTGCTTTTTAAAAAAATAGCCATTATCCTAAAACATACAAACAAAAATGCTATAGTAACATCCAAGCAAAAGCAGTCATGAATAGTTTTATTTGCTAACAAATAAGCTCACTCAAATCACATTAAAATCACTCAAGGAGAATAATTTATAGGTGTTGTTATTCTACCTTTAATTTTTATTTTTCTATCTTTCAATTTCTGTTTGTTCCTTTCCTAAGCGTAAGTGCTCTTTTGGAGGTTTAATCAGTCAACCAGTATTTATTGGAAGTATTTTATATGGAAGGCACTGAGCAAGCTGTTGTGAGATTCCTAAAGTATTTTAAGATGAGGTTTCTGCCCTATCTACTTAGAGAGGTAAGATATATTTACATCAAACCATAACTAATGATTCTAGATGATAAATGAGAAGTGCTAGATCATTTTTAAAAGTTTATTTTACATACCTTATAGATAAGTATTTTATTCTTCCTTTCCTTCCTGCCCTATTTAATACATAAGTAAAATTGTGGTCAGGCTAGTAAAGTAAGCTTTCAAGCTTTCTTCCTTTATGAAAACATTATTGAGTTCCTGTTATTTTCTGTGCCAAACACTTGGCTATGTTCTTTAAAATAATCTCATTTAATTCTTATAATAACTTTGTGAGGTAGGCATTATTCTCGTTTTATCAGTGAGGAAATGGATTTAGAGGGTTGAAGTAACTTGTTCAAGGTCACCCTGCTAATTAGTAATGGAGCCAGGATTTACATATAGGCCTGCTCAGTTTGGTGCTTTTTCTTTTCTTTTTCTTTTTGAGTTGGAGTCTCACTCTGTCACCCAGGCTAGGGTACAGTGGCACCATCTCGGCTCATTGCAACCTCCACCTCCCAAGTTCAAGCAATTCTCCTGCCTCAGCCTCCTGAGTAGCTGGGACTACAGGTGTGTGCCACCACACCTGGCTAATGTTTTATTTCTAGTAGAGACGGGGTTTCGCCATGTTGGCCAGGCTGGTCTCGAACTCCTGACCTCAGGTAATCCACCTGCCTCAGCCTCCCAAAGTGCTGGGATTATAGGTGTGAGCCACCACATCTGGCCTGATTTGGTGCTTTTTCTGTGTTATTCTGTTCTACTGTGGTTCTATTTGATGATGATAGAAAAAGCCATGCAAAGGAAGAATGATACTAAACATTATAATTTTGAAAAGCAAAAGCCAAAAGGAGGAAGGGACCTTTATCCTATAGTATGAGATATTAAATGTTCTTATAGACTCTGAATAGGTTGCTTGTATACGTTAAGTAAAGCATCATTACTTGAGTCTCTTGCCTTAACTAAGGAACATTTTAAAAGAGCCTGTCTTAAAGGAGCTGGGTGTAGTGGCACATGCCTGTGATCCCAGCTGTTCTGTAGGTTGAGGCAGGAGGATCACTTGAGCCTAGGAATTTGAGGCTGCAGTGAGCCATGACCACACCACTGGACTCTAGCCTAGACAACAGAAGGCGTCTGTCTCTAAAAAAATATTTTGTTATTTTATTTTTTTAAAAGATCCTATCTTTTATTAAATCTTGAATATGAAAGTCTGGAATACAGTGATAATAATCTTATGTTCTTATGTTTTAAAGTGTACAATGTTTTATGAATAATGGAATATTGTTACTACTAATAAAATTAATCACAATGGTGAAACTTCAGATGGGATTAAAACCTACTTAATTTTAATATCCAAAGTATTAAAGAACTCAATATTTTAAATGTATTTAATTAGATCTCTGGCATATTTAGAAAGACCAGGTGTTTGTTTCAAACTCCTTTCTAGTCCATAACCTTCATGATACTCTATGTCTTCTGTCAGTATTCTCACTAGTTAAGTATCACCTGCAGGCTTGTATCTGTGTTTTATTTTGTCAATACATCCTGGAAACTGACATCTTTTTTGAAACTGAAATGTAAGTGGGGCAAAGCAGCGTAAAATATGTAAGTCAACAAGATGTTCTCCTTGCTCACAGCAGCCCCTAACCTGTTTCTCCTGGTAGGCTAAAGCCCTGGCCACTCACAGTCTTGTGATTTTTCTTGTCTGACTTAACCTCCAGGAAATGAGTAACTGCTTCCTAGTGCCTCTGCTCTGCTCCAAGAAGTAGGCATCCTTGCTGTTTCTTTAATGTACTTTGCTGGTGAAGCTTATGGAACAGTGGTGTTCTTATGTAAGATCTACCAGTCAATTAAATATTAAAATACACTTGTCTACAACCAGGTGTTTTCAGTGTCTCCTTTACAGATGAATAGAAAAGTCATTTATATTTTGTCTTTGTTTTCAGCGTTCTTACTTCCGTACTCTTCTCATGTATGGGTTCCACTTTCTGGTGTGGTTCCTTTGTGTCAAAGGAATCAGGGACACACAGTGTGGGTTCAAATTATTTACTCGAGAAGCAGCTTCGCAGACGTTTTCATCGCTACACGTTGAACGATGGTAGGTTTCTGACTGGAATGTATCCAGTCTGTCTTATTACCCAGCCATCATTCTAGGTAATGAGAAACAGCCCTATATATTTATAATGAACATGTAGATTTAAACAAAATTGACACTAATGTATGTAAACTTGATCTTGCCTTTATACTTTTCCTGAGTTGGATCTTATTTTGAAAATATACAAACCCAACAATATAGTATAAACTTATGTGTGTTCACCCTAATTGTAGACAGTAGAAATTGAATGGCCTGAAAACATTTTTTTTTCCTTAGACTTCCTTTTTTTTTCCTTTGAAGAAAAGAGAAAAAGCTCAGAAATATCAGAATCGAATAGGGCACCCATTTTCTCTTTTCATCCTTCTACAGGAGATGATGTGTCTTTTCTAAGGCCGATCTTTTGACCTCTACATCTCCTTCCACCTTGTCAAAATGTAATCCTGTCCATGTGTTTCATCTCTTGTGTATTCAGCCTTTTCCCCTCCATCACATATTTCCCAGAACCCTCTCCATTGACCCTGCTGTGCCCTTCCAGCTCTAGCCCCTGTCTCCTTCACAAGCAACCTTCTCTTGAAAAAGTGGTTTATATTCACTGGCTTTGTTTTCTTGCTTCCCACTCACTCCTCACCCCACCTTCTTCATATGGATTTTCTCCCATTCCTCATCTTTTTTTTTTTTTTTTTTTTGAGATGGAGTTTAGCTCTTGTCACCCAGGCTGGAGTGCAGTGGCACAATCTCCACTCACTGCAACCTCTGCCTCCCGGGTTCAAGTGATTCTCCTGCCTCAGCCTCCCAAGTAGCTGGGATTATAGGTGGGCGCCACCACACCCCACTAGTTTTGTGTTTTTTACTAGAGATGGGGTTTCACCATGTTGGCCAGGCTGGTCTTGAACTCCTGACCTCAGGCGATCCGTCCAAAGTGCTGGGATTACAGACGTGAGCTACCACACCCGGTCTACTTCATCGTAACATCTAGCCACCTCTGTGTCATTGAAGCCAGTGGTCATGGTAAATGATCACCTGTCACACTTAACCCATCAGCAGCATTTGATACTTCTGACTCTCTTTTGAAATATACTGGAGATACAGGTGGCTAGCGCTGCCGTACAGAAGCTAAAACCCTGACACCAACCCTGACATTCTCCATATGCATATATCCAATCCATGACAGGGCCTGTTGATTTAGCTTTTATGTTCCCCCATTTCTCTCCATCTCCACCACCGCCATCCAGAACACCATCCTTCTCCAGACCACCATGCTGTAGCCCACAAGGTCTTCGCAAACTTAAGTGTGATCAATCATATGCACCTCTTCTGCTTATAATTCTTCATGGGCTTCCCATGGTCTTTAATCTGGCCCCACCTGTGTCTCCTCCACATGCGGACTCTTTTCTAACCAAGCCCCTTCTCACCTTCTCCTTCAGATCTTCCTTAGGGTAGCCTGCCCTCAGTCTCTAAATAGAATATAATTAGCTCAGGTGCCCCTAATTATACCCTGTTGCAGTACCATGTGCTGGTTTCATAGCACCTATTACATTTGTAGTTTTTTCTTACATTTGTGTAATTACTTAATGTTTCTTTTCCTCAATTAAAGCATAATCTTTCTCCATGAGAGCAAGAGTCACATTTAATTTTACTTATTAGTATATCCCGCTATCTATTAACATGCCTGGCACATGGTAGGTACCCAGTAAATACTGTTGAAAGAACTAATACTTAGTCATGGGTTCTTTGTGAATCCTCTTCATGTTGTATATCTGCATGATTATGCCAGCATGTCTCCATTTTTATACTCTACAACTTTTGTGCATCTGTTTTCAAAGACCTGTTGTCTTCCTAGAAATATATGCCATATAACCCCCAAAATATTACTTTTAAAAATGTACTTTCAGAATTATCATTCAGACTTTTTTAAATCTTTTTTTCCTAGATTAAAACATTTTAAGTAGTGTACCTTAGTGCCAAATTTAGATATGTGTTTTTATTATGTTGAAAAATAAAATAAACTGATAGTTAACAGACTCCGAAATCAGAAAATCTAATTTAAGAAACAACTCTAGAAGTAAAGCCCTCTGTCTGCATTAGCTATTTTTCAGTCAGCTGTTGCCTCCAGGATGAGGGTCAGAGATGCAGGTTCTTTGTAGTTTGAAAGGAAGAATTTAGAAATTGAGAATACTGTTTTTCATTGTTGAGGATCTTTCGTTTTTGTTGAAATATATAAAAGGTTAGGATTGATAACTTAAAAATCATGAAGCTTCCCTGTCAGGATTATTCTAGGGCAGCATTGTTTAATAGAAATGAGACAGAGGCAAGGCATATATGTAATTTCAAATTTTCTATTAGCCACATTTAAAAAGTAAAAAGATGACTCATGCCTGTAATCCCAATTCTTTGGGAGGCCAAAGTGGGGAGGACCAGTTCAGGCCGGGAGTTCAAGACTACCCTGGAAAACATAGCAAGACGCTGTCTCTCGAAAAAAAAAAAATTTTAATTAGCTGGGCGTGGTGGTGTGTGTGCCTGTAGTCCCAGCCACTCGGGAGACTGAGGCAGGAGGATCTCATAAGCCCAGAAGTTTAGGCTGCAGTGAGCTATGATTGCACCACTGTACTTTATCCTGGGCAACAGGGTGAAATCCTGTCTCTTAAAAAAAGTAAAAAGCCACCGATAAGATTTACTTGTTATCCAATATATTTCCAAGATATTGTCATATCACCATGCAATCTGTATGAAAAAAGTTGAAATATTTTACATTATTTTCTTTGTACTATATAGTCAAATTTACAGCACAGCTCAATTCAGACTGGCCACATTTCAAGTGCTTAGTATCCTCATGTGCCAAGGGGCTATTGTATTAGACAGCAGTTCTTGTGGGGTTAAGTTAAAGAACATTATTGGGGTTTTTTTTTTCTTTTTTTAGTGTTAATGTTACGTGCAAGCCTTTTATTTATTTTGGTGTTAATTGACATAAGATTGACCTCACTTAATGGCTGGGCATGGTGGCTCACACTGGTAATCCTAGCACTTTGGGAGGCTGAGGCAGGTGGATTGCTTGAGTCCAGGAATTTGAGACCAGCATGGGCAATGTGGTGAAACCTGTCTGTTTTTTTTTGTTGTTTTTTTTTTTCTTTTTTTTTGGGGGGGGGGGGGAATTTTCTTAAAATTTTAAATCTTAAAAAAATCTCTTTAAAAAATCACTTAAAATTTTAACTGCTCACATTTTTCTTTAGGGTACATTATGTTTATTTGGTGCCTCTAAAGGAGAACCACCAAGTATACATGTATCAGCTTAATAAGCAGTATACCCTTCACCACAATAATATGTCATCAGTGGTTTTTATTTAAACGTCTCTGTTCCTGCACTTTAAATCAAGACTTAAGAACAATATAAGTTACAGAAACCAAGTTGTACATCTGTGCCTTATTTCCAAATGTCACCTTTGACATTTGACTATTTTTTCTAAAGGATTCATTGAAATTTTTCTCAGAATTTTCAAGAAACTGGAATCAAATAGTTTCTAGGTATTAGAAATCTGTGAAGGAGTATACCTAAAGTTAAGACTCTCGGTATTGGCTGGGCACGGTGGCTCACGCCTGTAATCCCAGCACTTTGGGAGGCCGAGGCGGGTGGATCACTTGAGGTCAGGAGTTCAAGACCAGCCTGGCCAAAATGTTGAAACCTCGTCTCTACTAAAAATAAGTTTTTAAAAATTAGCCAAGCATGGTGGCAGGTGCCTGTAATCCCAGCTACTTGGGAGGCTGAGGCAGGAGAATTGCTTGAACCCAGGAGGCAGAGGTTGCAGTGAGCCGAGATCACACCACTGCACTCCAGTCTGGGTGACAGAGTGAGACTCTGTCTCAAAAAAAGACTCTCAGTGTCTCTTTGGATTCAGAACTGCAGAGTTGAGTATAGGTATGTTAAGTATATATATTCAAATATTAATATAAATAAAATGGGTACGTTAAATATAAAAATAGATTACAAAGTTTTATGTAAATTTGGCCTTCAAATTCAGATACATATATATATATACACACACACACACAGTTGTCCCTTGGTATCCACAGTGAATTACTTCTAGGACCATCACCCACAGATACCAAAATCTGTCCAGATGCTCAAGTCTTTGCTATAAAATGGTGTAGTCTTTGCGTACAATCTACACATATCCTCTCATATACTTTAAATCATCTCTAGGTTATTTATACCTCATACGAGGTAAGTGCTATGTAAATAGTTGTACTGTATGTTTGTTTTTTGTTGTTAGTGTTTTGGAGACAGGGTCTCATGTCACTCAGGCTGGAGTGAACACGGCTCACTGCAGCCTCTGCCTTCTGGCCTGAGGCAATCCTCCCACCTCAGCCTCCCGAGTAGCTGGGACTATAGGTGCATGCCACCATGCCCAGCTAATTTGTGTATTTTTTTTGTAGAGATAGAGTTTGCCACATTGCCAGGCTGGTCTCAAAATCCTGAGCTCATGTGATCCTCCCACCTCAGCCTCCCAAAGTGCTGAGATTACAGGCATGAGCCACTGCACTCAGCTTATATATTTTATTTGTATTATTTTTTATTGTGGTTTTTTACTGTTTATTTTTCAATATTTTCAATCCATGATTGGTTGAATTTGCGAACGTGGAACCCATGGATATGGAGAACCAACTGTGTATATAGCTTCATCTTCAGAGCCGTACTTCACCTAAATTCTTTCCATTTATGGAAGTTAAAATACTTGAGCCAGGTGTAGTGGTTCACACCTGTAATCCTAGCACTTTGGGAAGGTGAGATGGGCAGATCATTTGAGCCCAGGAGTTCAAGACAAGCCTGGGCAACATGGCAGACCCCCATCACTATAAAAAAAAATACAAAAATTAACTGGGCACGGTGGTGGACACCTGAAATCCTAGCTACTCAGGGCCCTGAGGCAGAAGAATCACTTGAACCTGGGAAGTGGAGATTGCAGGCAAGACTCCGTCTGAAAAAAAAGAAAAAAATTATTAGCTAGGTG